TTGCCTTTAGCCGGTGACTTGTCAGATATAGTCTTCATCATGTGACTTATCATTGCAGCACAAGTAGCCGGCAACTGCCGACTTTCAGCACGGCCGAGATAATGGCATCGAGTCGTAGGCTGGAACAAGACGAGCTGATCAAAATCAGAGCAAGTATGTGACGATTCTGGTGAACATTCCATGAAATCCGGCACAACAAGACCAGAAGAGTTGAAGTTTCAATCTCAAGCAACAGAATCAGCAGCACGTAAATCGCTAGCAATGGCAAACACCAGGGATCACGCCCACGAAGAGTAGCATGACATGTACCAATACTTGTAGCAACAGCACGAGTACCAACCAAAAGCAATTGCGAATTCACACGTAGCAGCACAACAGAAATTTCTGCTGCTCGGCGTCTTTGGTTGCAACCGTCAGCCGTCTCCGAGGCAGACCGGCAAGTGGCGGCTTTTCAGCGACTCCGATCTCGGAAGCACCACGAACGCGGGCTGACAGCTGCTGGCATCGTTTGACCATACTCTGCCGGTATGAGCGTACTAAATCACTCTTGTGTGAGAGTTGCAACGAGAAGTCTTCATTGGCTGGAGATGCTTGGGATCGGCTCAATGTCTGTGACGACCCCGTGAAAGAGAGGCAACAGTGAGGCAACACTGCTTTCGGAACTTCCCGTCTACCCCGGCAACAAGCTGTGCCATCGAGCACGAGGGCTTGAGGAAAGCTACTGGAAGGACCTTCTGCGCGTATCTCCGCAAGGTGCTCCGAGACGAGCCTGGCTGTTCTCGAAAACCCTGCTTTCAGTCTCGGGAGCATCACAAGACCAGGCCGCGTTGGCTAGAATCTGTTGGTGTGCCTATCCTGCTGTGCGCATGTACGAGGCTCGAGTGCATGCGTAGATTGGTGTGCTCCCTACATTAACTAGGCCACCACGACTGTAAGATGCTCTTGAACATGAGATGAGCCAAAAGGCACGGCCCAGTTGAAGCAACGTTCTCCATCGGCAGACACAACCAGTTCTGCGTTAAGGTCGATCCCTCAATTAATTTTGCACGTAACATGGCAGCGGTTTCCTGGCTTAAAATCCAGGGAGGTCCCTCCCTGGTCTGGGCATCGCAAAGTGCATGTCCCACGGCAGACGGCGCATCGCGGCCACAATTTGGCTACCCCAGGTTCCACAGACTCCCCAACCTATATACCATACTGGGAAAGACTGGCTGAAATCGCGTGTCAAAGCCAAGGTGGTCGTGTTCGCAACGGATGACTTCCGGCTGACCAAGAGAGTGGAGTGCTGCGATCGCTTTCGCCTCACAGCAAGTCTTGGGCCATCATTCGGGCCATCGCTACTGCCTTCATCACATCTCGTGTGGAGAGTACAGTATGTCTGTAGTTTGAGCAAGCAGTGTGTAGTACGTAAGTCTCTGTTGTCATGCTAGCAAAAAGCCTTATTCGATCGGAGCTTATTAAGTAATCTCGAGCGCAGGTGCAAAAAACTAATCTGACATGTAAAGCGCTGACAGTTCTCCAACTTGCCCTGCAACCTCGCGCAGGAAAGCAAGTGTCGCATGATGCGACATGCATGCAACGCTACATTCCTGCATGCTTCTGACAGAAGGTGTCACTGACTACTCGTATGGGGGATCATCAGCGGTGCTTCTGGAGGTGGGAAAAGAGCAGTCGTACTAGTGACGTCGACAGAGATGGAATCGCAGCGCTAGCACCGGCGATAGTGGAAACTGTCGTGGTCTGGCCATGAGTAATTCGATTTCACTACCACCTGATACCACGGTTTCGGTACCCATTGCTGCATTTGCTGCTTCGATTACTGTACCGCGAGTAGCTACTAGTAGCTATCTTTGGGCATTTCTGGTGTCGTTGCCCTGGATAACTTGGATGTGTTGACAAATGCTGGCACTGTCGACACGGCTCCTGCCACGTGCAGATTCTTGTCATCGCTTCTTTCTAGTGATGTGTAGCCGCTGCTTGACGGAGCCAGGGTCGAAAACCAGTTTGCCTCCGACTTCCCTGCTACCAGCGAGCGTGCTATGGCAAATGTCCATAGCCCCAGTCTATCGCAATGTAAGCTGAGGACAAGCCGGACTTTGTGTACGAACCACTGAACGTCGGACGTGACTTTGGACCTTTAGACCTTGCGTCCACAGTCATCTATTGCCGGTGGGTTGATGTGCTTTGCAAAGAACATCACCGGTGCCGAGCCTTAGTCCACATCACTGCTGATGGCACGCGAGAGACATGGAGCAACACAGTGACCCTCTGCTGCGCGTACTCCATTCTGGCAAAAGGATTATCTGCGCAGGATGCGTACCAGCCGTTCGCTTACCTGGATCTTCCGGCGTTCGTAGATTGTCGGGGGGAGGGTGCGAACGGGATCGAGCTGCAGGAAGAGGAGTCGGACTTCAGATTGAGCGTGCTCGATGTCTTGATGGGCATCCAGCGAGCCCGAGATTTGGGCTGGTTGGATTACCGAAGCTTCCCAGTGGAGGTGTACACCCAAATGCTGCGAGCAGAGCATGGGGACATGAGTTGGATACTGCAGGGCAAAGCCCTGGCGATGGCCAGTCCTTGGGCACAGCCCGTAGACACGGAGGGCATGCCTGTTTGCACTCCAGATGTCCTTGTCCCATATTTTCTCGAGAACAAGGTTGAAGTCGTAATTCAGTGCAACCATCCTCAGTCCGAGGAGAAGGGGGAGCGGAGAGAGCTGATCAGCTATGATCCACAGCCTTTTGAGAATGCCGGCATCAAACATGTGTGGCTTCCCTTCGAAGATGGGGGTTGCCCATCCACGGAGCTCATCCAGCAGTTTCTGCAAGTTGTCGAGCCGCACAGTGGCGCATTCGTCGTCCACTGCCGGTCTGGACTTGGCAGGACTGCCACGGTCATTGGGATTTATGCTATGCGACACCTCGGTTTCACGGCACGGTCCTTCATAGGCTGGTCACGAGTAGTGCGGCCTGGGACAGTCCATGGCAGCCAGCAGCAGTATCTCGTGAATCTGGAGCCATACGTGCGCCCTGGCGTCGAGAGATCATTGGCCAACTTGAACCAGGTAGAGCAATTGCAGATGCTGCCGGTGCGCGAGCTAAGCTTTTGGGCTCTTGACTTGGGTGTGAATCATGCACTGCTGGCTAATCGCTCACGGACCGAGCTAATTGAGATCATTCTTGAAGCACGTGGCAACGTCAAGTCCGGATCCAACTTGCGCGCGCCTGACCCCGCAGCGCATCGGCCACCTGACCCTGCAGCGCACCGGAATTCAGTGACGGCCGGAACCCCCGAAACGATTGTGCCACAGCAATCGCAGAGTGCCAGTCAGAAAACCCTGGGCGAACCAAGCATAGATCCGTGGCAGGAAGCTCTTCAGTATCTCAGACTTCTGGGCTCTCTGCACGACGGTTCTGGAGCAGATGCCATCATCCAGCTGGTCGAGCAGATTCGAAACAGCCCCTCGGCTCGACCCGTCATGAAAGCCGATGAAGTTGAATCGGCAGCCATGAAGGAAGTCAGTGCTGCACATGCTGCAGCTTTGGCAGAGACACGACGAAAGGAGGCCGAGTTGGGGGAAGCTTTGCAGCTTGCCAGGGCTGCTCGGCGAGAATGCGTACAAGTCAAGCTTTCCATTGCCATGCAGCAAGATGCATTGCTCCAAGCCAGCAGCGATGCTGTGAGAGAGTCGACTGTAATGGCCGACTTGCAGCGCCAACTGGCAGAGGCAGCGGAGGTGCGACGCCAGAAGCTGGAAGCTCACCGAAAGGAGCAGGCTGCCCTGCAAGATGCCAAAGACCAGTGGAAAATGCTTCAGATCCAAGCAGAGACTGAAACCATTAACAGCAACGTTAGCGCGGTTGGACCGATGGAGGCCTGGCAGAATGCCAAGCGCTCACTCGATCGCTTGCGTATGCGCCTTGAGCAGAGCTAAAGAGTACGAAAAGGATGTGAAGCAGACATCCTGCACATGAGCAGCCTAGCGGCGCAAACAGGAGGTGCACACAAAGAGAGCCCGGCTTTGGTCATGACAGCCGAGGCTGGCCTTGCGCAGCGTCTGCTGCCCTGAGGAGGAGAAGAGACCAACTTTTGTGGCGACTTGGCTCAATGCGATTTCGGAGACGGTGCTGCTCATGAGCACGACTTTGCTAAGTTAAGGAGCTGGTGCGACAGCTGAAATCCACAGCCGGACACCTACAGCGACAGAAGAACCAACTCCGGGCTGTAGAGGGGCAATCGCTACCAACAAACTGTTGACTCCGAGGTCGAGCGTTTCCCTCCTCGGAGCTCGTCCGAGCGAGTTGACATGCTTCAGGCCGTAGCATAAGAGTTTTCGATGCAGTGCACCGTTTGAGAGCATGGAGCCCGGAGTCCGGTCCAACCGACAGCACGTGACTCCCAGGTGGACCCGTCACTAAAGCATTCGGATGGTAGTGGTCAAGAGCTTGGAAAATCAGTGTCAGCCTTCTTCTGTAGCTTCCGCCAGGCATTGATGTTGAACTTGGGAAGGGGGGTCTGAGATGGGACTTCACTGAATATGCGGCGTATCTTTTTGCTTTTCCCTTGTCTGGGAGTCGGCCTGAGTCGTCGGCATATTGCTGCCCGCCACTCCAGGTGGCTCATCACCCCGGCATTCTCCCCGGCCCGCACAGGCAGGTATAGTATTGGTTCTGGCATGCTGCGAGAAAGCTTTGGTTCCAGTTGCACACAGGGTCCCGCCAATATCGGAGCCTCAGCAGAGCGTCAGGTGGCTGGTCAGCTGGGCTCTCAGCTTCCATACTATGGCCCTCGGAGAACATTCAATCCTACGAGTGGCCTAGGTTTTGCCAAGGTTGTATGCGATCGTATCCACACCTGCATGCGACGGGCATACTTTGTAGAACAAGCTGCCACGTGTCTCGGAATGGTAGATCATAGCGACCAGCCCAAAGGGTGAGTGCCGAGTAGCTTGAATCAATACATGCCGAACTGGGCCGTACGAAGACGGACATACAGCTGCAGCTTCAGGCAGCCATGTCAACCACCTTCCGGGTTCAGGCAGGCTCCAGCAGCTGGAGCGAATCATGGAAGTTGGATTTTGCTTTGTTGCTTCCACGTGAACCGTCACTCAGAGCAGGACTGGGGCAAGAGTAGTTTGTGGTAGCCACCCTTGCAAGCAAGACATCACCGCGTAGCTACGTGGCCCGAAGTGCGAGCGCTGGGGGACAGCCCTCCTCTTCCTCAGTGGAAGGCAGGCATGCGAAACGTGGGATGTGTGGCTGCAGCGATGGGCGGAAGAGCATGGTTGTAAGTTATGAAGGTTTCATGGCGTTTGGAGTTTGTCTATCCTGGTGTCCAGGAGATGGACAGATCCTCGTTGAACAAAGCCACCAGCGCCGATGACACTCCCACGCCAGGATACTTATATACAGAGAGACTCGGCCCCGAAGCGTCAGTGTACAGTTCAATGGAAAACACAGCGCCGGAGAGTCCCGAATTTGTCGAGCCAACAAGCGTCTCGTGCCTGGGTCGTGCTACTGTAGCTGAGCTGCACTGAGGATAGCACAATCAACTTTCGCCGACTTGAACGCATGCCAGCAGTTAGCAGACTACTTGCTGAAAAAGTCGCTTGGCGGTCATGGCTTGGATCTTTATGGGCTTCTTTCATTGGCTGGTACTGCGATGAACGCGCAGCACAACGCTGTCGGATTCTGTCGACCTGTCAGGTTGGAAAAAGACAATCCCCATGTGAAACTGAAATGCTTGAAGATCATCAAGCATGCGGCTCACCTGCAACGTTCTGCTGAGCTCCAGGCGTATGCATACCACTCGGCTATGCTGGAAGAGGTTGTGCATCTCAGATGGTGCACATCTCTCAGGTATGCGAGCAGGGGAAACCCGAATTCAAACGCGCAGTTCAAAGAAAGGCAGCCCAGCATGATCATGACTATTGCTCCAGTCTCGCAGACTTCAACACGCCGCCGTTCAGAAGTCAAAGGGTCAGGCAGAAGCCGCGCTAGCATACTGAGAATAAGCGATGCACTTGGCTGATGCTGGCACAATTCATCTCGCATAGTCTCGCATGCATTTCTTACGGATATGGACGGGCTAGCAAGAGCCGGAGGAGCCAGGGGAGTCGCAGCTTATTGGGTCCTGTGCAAATGCTTTCGTGTGATGCTTTGTGTACACCCTGAAATCATGCCTGTGTCAGGCAGACGTCGTGAAATCATGCCTGCAATTTCGGGGTACACCGGATCCATTGAAAGGCGTGGACAGTGTCGCGAGCAGTTCTCGAGCCTGGTGCGCGGAGTAGAGTTGATCATAGGGCGACTGTAATTTTCTTTCGAGGCGATGCCCCAAACAAAGCTGTGCGGGAAGAAGCCGACTTGGCCGTCAAAGCCGTGTTCAGCTCCCGAGCTGAAGTTGAAGTCGAGTCTGAGACCTTGGAACACTCGTTCAGTCGGCTCCCTCGCTACGTCTGCCAAGGCTCCAATGCATCGCTGAATGCGTACGGCTTTAGCACTGCACAGGGCAAGAAGATGCAGGGTTTCGGCAGCGAGCCGAGTGATGACATCAGCAGCAGGACGGGGTGTAGTCTGAAAGACCACATCTGAACGAGGATGACGCAAGCCGACAGCTGAAACCACAGACAGACAGACAGACAGACAGACAGACAGACAGACAGACAGACAGACAGACCGCCGGAGAGAGGAGCAGAGACGCGCAGAAGGACGAAGAGAGAGACAGAGAGAGAGAGAGAGAGAGCGAGAGAGGGAGACAGAGTGACGGTGTTTCGAGGGGGTTACGCTGTGACAGGCAGGCGAGCATGTGAGTGCCTGCCCGGAAGGGCCCGATCAGACGCACAGATTCGAGCCGCGAGGGGTAGGCCTTCGGGCCAGGGGTCCACGGGGCCCCATACCCCAAGCAAGCAAG